AAATTTTTAACGTTTTTATGAAGTTCGAAAATTCGAACTTAATTTCGAATTAAATTTTTTAAAACAAAATTGTCAAAAATATAAGTTTTTCCCTTCATTTTAATAAACACTATTAAATTTTTAACATTTTAGTGAAGTTCGAAAATTCGAAGTTAATTTCGAAAATTCGAACTAAATTTCGAAATTTATTTGCTATCCCCAGAATGTCAAAAATATGACTTTTTGTTTATAATTTACTGAAAACTATAAAATTTTATACTTTTTCATGAAGTTCGAAAATTCGAACTTAATTTCGAAACTGATTTTTTTCATAAAAAAGACGAAAAAAGGTTCTTAATGTTGAATTTTTTACACATTTGAAGCAAAAATAAAATTTTAATCATTTTCGGGATGTTCGAAAATTTGAACTTAATTTCGAATTGCATTTTTTACAACAGAAATTTAAAAAAATTTGGTTTTTGCTTCCCTTTTATTAAAACTATATCAATTTTAACATTTTCATGAAGTTCGAAAATTCGAAGTTAATTTCGAAAATTTGAACTAAATTTCCAAAATTTATTTTCCATCTCCAGAATGTCAAAAATATGACTTTCTGCTTATATTTTACTGAAAACTATAAAATTTTGAACTTTTTATGGAGTTCGAAAATTCGAACTAAATTTCGAAAATTCGAATTTAATTTCGAAAATTCGAATTTAATTTCGAAATTTATTTTCAATCTCCAGAATGTCAAAAATATTACTTTTGCTTATATTTTACTGAAAACTATAAAATTTTGAACGTTTCTATAAGGTTCGAAAATTCGAACTTAATTTCGAAATTGATTTTTTTCATAAAAAAGACGAAAAAATTTCTTAATATTAAGTGATAAAATTTTAATCATTTTCGGGATGTTCGAAAATTCGAACTTAATTTCGAAATTAATTTTTTAACACAAAAATGTCAAAAATTTGACTTTTTGCTTCCCTTTTATAAAAATTATATAAATTTTAACATTTTCATGAAGTTCGAAAATTCGAACATAATTTCGAAATTAATTTTTTAACACAAAAATGTTAAAAATAAGGCCATTTGCTTCTTTTTCACTTAAATCTATAATATTTTGAACAATAAGAAGTTTTTTTTACTAAATCCCATAAAAAAACTTTAAAACTTTCAAATCCCTAAAACGTTTTCAAACTTAACATACGAGTAGTAAATCAAATTTCCACAGAACATAAAAATCATTGATAAAAACTGCTTGAAATACATAAAAATTCAAACAAAGTGATTTCTCTAATTTGATGACTTTCCTGGCAAAATAAAAATACAAAATTTATATAGAAAATATATATAAAAAAAATCAGGAAAAAAAAGAAATCTCATACAAAAGCTCCAACCAAATGGAAATGTAACTTTTCAACAAACAATATTGGCCTAATACGAGCACAATGTTCAAAAACATAAAGATAATCCAGCAGGATTTTCTACTCCCCCACTCCTTTTTCATAAAGTATTTGCAACTCGTTGTCTAAAGAGGGAAGTGAAGTGTTATTTTTATGGGGGGGAAAGGCGGTTGTTAGTTAGTGTGGGTGCGGAAAAAGCTTTTCCTTTTTTTCCAAAAAAAATAATCATAGAAAACAAGAAAAGTTGTACATAAATATTCAAAGTTAGTAGTGGATTCTTTAATGTGAACATGTATATTGTTATTATTCGGTTTGTGTCCGTTTATTCAATCCAATCCAATTGAAATGAATTTGCCCTAGAGGCATAAAACTGAAATTGTTGTAAGGAGCTACAACAACAACAAAACATAGACATACGCATAAATACGTAGGGAAAATGAGAAGACTTTGTTCACATTATAAAATTTATAAATATTTAAATTTCTAGTAACAAGTTTTCGTAGCATTCAACTGTTTTACAAATTCCCCTCTTCTAAAGGGGGGGGAAGGAAATTCATGTTGATTATGAAAGGAAGTAAGCAAGTAAATACTTGTACATGTAGATATAAAATATATGTCTGTCTGTCTGTCTATCTGTTCGTCCCATTGTGTGGTTGTTACTGATGAAATACTTCAATAACAATAAAATGGATTAAAAGTGGAAGTTATAGCAGTGGCAGTAATATCATATAAACCCTCTAAATATTTGCCCAGCAAAGCCACAAAAAAATACATATTTATTTTTTAGGTTAGAGGCAGAAATTTAGCCCCCATTTTTTATTTAAGGGAGTTTTTTAAAAATTGAATCAATTTTAAATTTATTTTTATGTCTTTGTGGTAAGCAAAAATTAATAGATCTTTAATAGGAAATAATGTGAGTGACTAATGTGGTTTCAAAATAAATATTGTTAAATTAGGCGGTGATTATCCTAACATATGGGAGAATTTCTGGAAAAATAATAGGATTTGAAATCAATGAAGAAAGAAAATTACATTTTCCTATGATTTTGTTTAATAAATTTTTCATCAGTTCTAGTTTTGTTCTGCTCTAGTTTAGTTCTACCTAGTTCCTCTTCAGTTCTAGTTCTGTTTAGTTCAGTTCTAGTTCAGTTCTAGTTCAGTTCTAGTTCAGTTCTAGTTCAGTTCTAGTTCAGTTCTAGTTCAGTTCTAGTTCAGTTCTAGTTTAGTTCTAGTTTAGTTCTAGTTCAGTTCTAGTTCAGTTCTAGTTCAGTTCTAGTTCAGTTCTAGTTCAGTTCTAGTTCAGTTCTAGTTCAGTTCTAGTTCAGTTCTAGTTCAGTTCTAGTTCAGTTCTAGTTCAGTTCTAGTTCAGTTCTAGTTCAGTTCTAGTTCAGTTCTAGTTCAGTTCTAGTTCAGTTCTAGTTCAGTTCTAGTTCAGTTCTAGTTCAGTTCTAGTTCAGTTCTAGTTCAGTTCTAGTTCAGTTCTAGTTCAGTTCTAGTTCAGTTCTAGTTCAGTTCTAGTTCAGTTCTAGTTCAGTTCTAGTTCAGTTCTAGTTCAGTTCTAGTTCAGTTCTAGTTCAGTTCTAGTTCAGTTCTAGTTCAGTTCTAGTTCAGTTCTAGTTCAGTTCTAGTTCAGTTCTAGTTCAGTTCTAGTTCAGTTCTAGTTCAGTTCTAGTTCAGTTCTAGTTCAGTTCTAGTTCAGTTCTAGTTCAGTTCTAGTTCAGTTCTAGTTCAGTTCTAGTTCAGTTCTAGTTCAGTTCTAGTTCAGTTCTAGTTCAGTTCTAGTTCAGTTCTAGTTCAGTTCTAGTTCAGTTCTAGTTCAGTTCTAGTTCAGTTCTAGTTCAGTTCTAGTTCAGTTCTAGTTCAGTTCTAGTTCAGTTCTAGTTCAGTTCTAGTTCAGTTCTAGTTCAGTTCTAGTTCAGTTCTAGTTCAGTTCTAGTTCAGTTCTAGTTCAGTTCTAGTTCAGTTCTAGTTCAGTTCTAGTTCAGTTCTAGTTCAGTTCTAGTTCAGTTCTAGTTCAGTTCTAAGTTCAGTTCTAGTTCAGTTCTAGTTCAGTTCTAGTTCAGTTCTAGTTCAGTTCTAGTTCAGTTCTAGTTCAGTTCTAGTTCAGTTCTAGTTCAGTTCTAGTTCAGTTCTAGTTCAGTTCTAGTTCAGTTCTAGTTCAGTTCTAGTTCAGTTCTAGTTCAGTTCTAGTTCAGTTCTAGTTCAGTTCTAGTTCAGTTCTAGTTCAGTTCTAGTTCAGTTCTAGTTCAGTTCTAGTTCAGTTCTAGTTCATGTTCTAGTTCTAGTTCTAGTTCAGTTCTAGTTCAGTTCTAGTTCAGTTCTAGTTCAGTTCTAGTTCAGTTCTAGTTCAGTTCTAGTTCAGTTCTAGTTCAGTTCTAGTTCAGTTCTAGTTCAGTTCAGTTCTAGTTCAGTTCTAGTTCAGTTCTAGTTCAGTTCTAGTTCAGTTCTAGTTCAGTTCTAGTTCAGTTCAGTTCTAGTTCAGTTCTAGTTCAGTTCTAGTTCAGTTCTAGTTCAGTTCTAGTTCAGTTCTAGTTCAGTTCTAGTTCAGTTCTAGTTCTGTTCTAGTTCAGTTCTAGTTCAGTTCTAGTTCAGTTATAGTTCAGTTCTAGTTTAGTTCTAGTTCAGTTCTAGTTCTAGTTCAGTTCTAGTTCAGTTCTAGTTCAGTTCTAGTTTAGTTCTAGTTCAGTTCTAGTTCATTTCTAGTTCAGTTCTAGTTCAGTTCTAGTTCAGTTCTAGTTCAGTTCTAGTTCAGTTCTAGTTCAGTTCTAGTTCAGTTCTAGTTCAGTTCTAGTTCAGTTCTAGTTCAGTTCTAGTTCAGTTCTAGTTCAGTTCTAGTTCAGTTCTAGTTCAGTCCTAGTTCATTTCTAGTTCTGTTCTAGTTCTGTTTTAGTTCTAGTTCAGTTTTAGTTCAGTTCTAGTTCAGTTCTAGTTCTGTTCTAGTTCAGTTTTAGTTCAGTTCTAGTTCAGTTCTAGTTCAGTTCTAGTTCAGTTCTAGTTCAGTTCTGGTTCTCGATTAAGAAACTCTTCTGAAATGTTTTAAATAATACTAATCCAAACTCATACAAAATCTCTCATTAATTGCTTACATTTATTTCTCTCAGTGTAATTCAATTAGTCTTGCTAACAGTTGCTTTTGTTTAGTGTGCTCCACTAAATGTCTAAAGAAAAAAGAGTAAATAAAGTAAATACGATACAAGAGTAAAATTTGTCTGTCCTTTTACTCTAGCAAGTAAAATCCGTTAGCAAAAAAAAAACAACAACAAACAGTTTGTAATAAATAAATATGAACGGAAATGAAGGAAAAAATCTAGATTTTTATACAATTCCCTCTCTTCCTCCTAAAAAGCAACATTATTATATTTAATGAACTTTTATTATTTACAGGAAATTTAATTGTTACAAGATGGCGCGTTTTATATATTGAGACCCAGCTAACAGCAGACAATTAAAGGAACAGACAGACAAAGGAACAAAGAATAAACAAAAAAAAACTAAATTGAAGTAAATGGAGTAGAAATACATAACAATGAAAGGAAATTACTATAATAAAAACTTAGTTATAGTTTAACTAATATAAGAAATACCTATACATGTAATAAAGTTAATAATGCTTACCCATGTTTATAAATTATATTAAAGCCGTGTTGTAGTATAAAGAAATGAAATCTTTAATTTAAACTTAGTTTCGTAGTGGAGGGCCTGGTTTTAAGTATTGATAAGTTTAATGACGTAAATGTTAAAAAACATATTTCTAGCCAAATGGAGTCAAACACAAAAACCACACAAAAGCAAAAGAAGTTGGCTAAGGCGAACTTGTTTTTATTATTTTTGTTGCTTAATTCTTTTTCTTACACTTTATTTTATTTAAGCTTTCATGTGATTCTTTTTTTACTTTATTTTTTATTATGGTAGTTGTTGTATTTTGTTTTAGTATGTGTGTAAATATGATAATTAAGCTGGGTTTGGTTTTCTTAAGAGATTCTTTTATTTTTTTTAAATTTCTTTTAAACACTTTTAAGATTACACCTTTAGCATTTTAAACAATATTTCAAAGCTAAGAAGCCAACAATAAATAACTTGTACGAACTTAGTAAATGAAAACGCAGCCTATATGAATGAAATGCAATTTAAAATACAAATTACTACGCGTAAGCAGAATTAATTAATCAAAAATAAAACGTTCCGTCTCCAATTGGAAGTTAAGAAAACAACCACCATCAAACTTTGTTACCAGTAAACTAAAAGTGGCATTTTTACTACAATTTCCTTCAACTGTAGAAATACACGTACAAAAAAAAGAAGAAACCACTACAAAAGAGTTGCATTATTACAATAACAACAACGGAAAATACTATAAAGAAAAAACATAAACAAAGCACTTAATATAGTTGTCTCTTTTTTATTACGTTTAATATAATACCTGAATTACCCTGTTAGAAAATCAAAACAACTCTGTTTGGTGTTGCCACTGTAGCAATTAAAAAAGATGCATACGATTACGTTACGAATGAAATATTTGAATATATTATAACAATTTATGAAGTTTCAAATTAAAAATTCCATTTAAATCTAATGTTTTCTCTAAAATTAAACTCAAAGATTCCAATTGTTATTAGAAATGATTTTAATATACATATATTTTTAAACTAATTGTATGTAAGTTCTAGTACAGAAGAATACACCTAGGCCACCATCGGACCTGTTGTGCGCTGACTTACTGGTACCTCAATTTTATTTCTTTTATAAAACCGAATTAAAACCAAAATTTGTATGTAATATTTAACAAATACTTTACAAATAACTTAATAATTTAATTATCGAAAGTTTTGTTTCAAAAATTGTTTTTAAATCCGCCAAAACAATAATATTTTACAAAAAATATATTAAATTTTCTAAATAAATAGCAAACTACCGTTATTTCCATTAACTTTTATTAAACTATATGAATCACCCTATAGTTTTTCTTATTTTTAACTCAAATGACATTTCTCCCAATTTGTTTACATGTCAAATAAGAAAAAAACTTTTTAGCGGAAATTTGCGCTTGTTCTTGAAATTTTCTTCAGTCTTCGCGGTTAAATTGGTGGCATCGGTTCGTTTTTTTCTATTAAGTTTTAACAAGAATGTATATTTCAGAGGTAAATTGTATTATTTTATTAAAATGTTCATTAAAATATCCTCTAAACCTTCTTCCCAGTTAGAAATTTATAATATTAGTGAATGTAAGCATGCTATTTTAAAATTTCCACCAAATTCACAAAAGTCTCCTTTATATCTGGTGCACTCTTCCGAGAAATGTGAAATTATTTCGTTAGCTTTGCAATTAATTTGTGGCTCAAAGTATTGTCGTGCCTCTGCCCTGCATGAAATTCGTCATAAAATCTCTAATGGCAAAGTGAGGCTCACTTTCACTTTGCTGAAAACTACGCCGGAGCAGCCAACTGCTGAAAGTTCGCAGCTGCAGGATCATAGTAGCGACAGTGATGTTCCTTGTACCTCCCGGCAGGCACGACAAAGACTTGAACGTCGTTTGGAGCGACGACGGCAAAGTGAAAGACAGCAGAGCTGTTTGGTTATCAATGCCTGCCGGGATTTTACTTTAAATCCAGATCTTATAGTATATTCGATCGATGGAGGACCACCTTTGGAATGTTCGGTTTTAGTTTTCCAAATACGTTTTTTCACCTGTACCGAACTTATATTTCCTCGTTTAATGGAAGTGAGCCATGGCCAGTATTGTAATGGTCGGTGGCTGGATTTGTTGTCTATGGAATTTGTGGATAAGGGGAGGGAGGGGTAAGTCTAGCATGTTTTTAAATGAAAAATTGTAGTTTCAATATTAATTCTTATTGAAATACAATTTGCTATAACTTATAAGAAAACTATCAGTGAAACTATTCAAATAAGAAAACTATTTAGCGAATACACTGAACTAGAACTGAACTAGAACTGAACTAGAACTGAACTAGAACTGAACTAGAACTGAACTAGAACTGAACTAGAACTGAACTAGAACTGAACTAGAACTGAACTAGAACTGAACTAGAACTGAACTAGAACTGAACTAGAACTGAACTAGAACTGAACTAGAACTGAACTAGAACTGAACTAGAACTGAACTAGAACTGAACTAGAACTGAACTAGAACTGAACTAGAACTGAACTAGAACTGAACTAGAACTGAACTAGAACTGAACTAGAACTGAACTAGAACTGAACTAGAACTGAACTAGAACTGAACTGGAACTGAACTAGAATTGAACTAGAACTGAACTAGAACTGAACTAGAACTGAACTAGAACTGAACTAGAACTGAACTAGAACTGAACTAGAACTGAACTAGAACTGAACTAGAACTGAACTAGAACTGAACTAGAACTGAACTAGAACTGAACTAGAACTGAACTAGAACTGAACTAGAACTGAACTAGAACTGAACTAGAACTGAACTAGAACTGAACTAGAACTGAACTAGAACTGAACTAGAACTGAACTAGAACTGAACTAGAACTGAACTAGAACTGAACTGAACGAACTAGAACTGAACTAGAACTGAACTAGAACTGAACTAGAACTGAACAGAAATGAACTAGAACTGAACTAGAACTGAACTAGAACTGAACTAGAACTGAACTAGAACTGAACTAGAACTGAACTAGAACTGAACTAGAACTGAACTAGAACTGAACTAGAACTGAACTAGAACTGAACTAGAACTGAACTAGAACTGAACTAGAACTGAACTAGAACTGAACTAGAACTGAACTAGAACTGAACTAGAACTGAACTAGAACTGAACTAGAACTGAACTAGAACTGAACTAGAACTGAACTAGAACTGAACTAGAACTGAACTAGAACTGAACTAGAACTGAACTAGAACTGAACTAGAACTGAACTAGAACTGAACTAGAACTGAACTAGAACTGAACTAGAACTGAACTAGAACTGAACTAGAACTGAACTAGAACTGAACTAGAACTGAACTAGAACTGAACTAGAACTGAACTAGAACTGAACTAGAACTGAACTAGAACTGAACTAGAACTGAACTAGAACTGAACTAGAACTGAACTAGAACTGAACTAGAACTGAACTAGAACTGAACTAGAACTGAACTAGAACTGAACTAGAACTGAATTAGAACTGAATTAGAACTGAACTAGAACTGAATTAGAACTGAATTAGAACTGAACTAGAACCAAACTAGAATTGAACTTGAACATTCCAAAAAGAAAAGCACTTACAGAAAACTCTATCAAAACACGTTTCTATCTATAATTAATAAAAGTTTTCTCTTCCTTTCCAGCAACAAACTTCTTAAAAAATTTTCTAAACTCTATGCCAAAGGAAATGTCTATCCAAACGACTTACTCTGCCAACTAACTTCCTCTGTTCTTACGGCACGCAACTATTTGAACAATTCCCGTTTATCACATCTGTTAAATATTTTCAATGACATTCGTTGGGTTTTCGAGTATATAACCTGTTCGGAATATTCCGTTTGGTTTTTGCTGCCTTCGCGTTTTGGCAATTTAAAAGATATTAGAGAAATTACAACAGAAAATATAAATTTTGATTTAATGAAAACCGAAATACAATTAAAAAGTGCGAGTGCTAAAGCTGTTCCTTGGCTAGAGACAGAAAAACATGTACAAGAGCTGTTTTTGGTGGCGGTACAAGTGGCTTTTGGTTATCATTGTCAGCAGAATATTATTTATTTACATAGTTTGAATTATGTAGGTTTTAATTTTAATTCCAGTAATAGTTCTAGAGTTTGATTTATTGAAAATTTTGTTTTAAATTTCAGCTAGAAAGGCATCAAAGTTTTGAGTTTTTGAATTACTCTTTATTGCAGTCTGCTGGTGGCAGACAGGTTAGTTTTTCCTTGATTTTTATTGGTTTGTTATTTATTTGTGTATTTATTTCTTCTTTTAGTTATTTGCTGAGAAAAACTATTTCGAGCGTATTTTCAATATTTGTGATAAATTGAATATTTGTTGTGTTTTGGAATATGCCGGCAGTTTGCCTTTCTATCCCAGCCAGTGTTTTGTTATTTATAGTAATTGGCTGAATAACTCTCAAGAATGGCAGATTTATGTTAAAGATTTGTCGGCCAATCAAGATTCAAGTTCCACAAGAGTTGAGAAATTTCTACAGCAGCTTAATGACACAATAAAATAAGGTATTTATAAAGCATGTTTTTTTTATTAAAATGTTATTGGGTCAAACGAATTTTTATATTGAAAACTAAAAGCTTAAATTATTTAATTATCGTTTTTTTAAAAGTTATTTGCAAATTTGTTTTAACATCTCTTAGATTGCACTAAATTTGTCTATAAGTTTATTAAGCATTTTTATATGAATTTATTTATATCTATCATTTTTCCGATTTATTGTTGAGTTTTCTTCAATTCTTCTTCTCTGGCCTTGCGATTTTTCAATATACTTGTTATTAAGAATTCGCCCGCCTTATAAGAACTCCTTACCAAAGGGCCACTGGCGGTATAAAGGAAACCCATTTCATTACCTCTTTCCTCCCAATGTTTGAATTTTTCGGGTGTAACATATTCGATAACTTTCAAATGTTTCTTGGTAGGCTGCATATATTGTCCCAAAGTTAAGCATTCTACTTCAGCATCTCTTAAATCTTGCATTGTCTGTTCCACTTCAGCATCAGTTTCACCCAAACCCAACATTATAGAAGATTTGGTTATTATTTTGGGATTAAAACTTTTGGCTTCTTTGAGTACTTTAAGAGTTTGACGGTAATGGGCTCGTCTGTCTCTTACAAAGGGCGTTAACTTTTCCACTGTTTCAATATTGTGGGCATAGACATCTAGGCCGGATGTGGCTATAGTTTTAACACATTCTAAATCACCGCGGAAATCAGGCACCAAACATTCGACAAAGATATTGGGATTGCTAAAAAGATAAGAAAAGAGTTAAAATTCGTTTTAAAGAACTGGTGAAAACTTCCCACTTACCGTTTCTTAATTTCCCTGACAGTTTCTGCAATATGTTTAGAACCACCATCGGGTAAATCTGTAAGCAAATTTATAATAAACGAACAGAATTAGAATAGAATTAGAATAGAACTAGAACAGAACTAGAACAGAACAAGAACTGCACCAGAACAGAACTAGAACAGAACTAGAACAGAACTAGAACTGAACTAGAACTGAACTAGAACTGAAGTAGAACTGAACTAGAACTGAACTAGAACTGAACTAGAACTGAACTAGAACTGAACTAGAACTGAACTAGAACTGAACTAGAACTGAACTAGAACTGAACTAGAACTGAACTAGAACTGAACTAGAACTGAACTAGAACTGAACTAGAACTGAACTAGAACTAAACACACTTTTCCTTAAAAAAAACTTCTTGAATCTTCTAAAAAATAATCTCACCATCTCTATCCACTGAAGTTAAAACGATATAATCCAAACCCCAAGAAGCTATAGCCTTAGCTGTATTTACGGGCTCATTAGTATCTAAAGGTGGTGGTATTCTGGCGGTCTTAACAGAACAAAAACGACAACCACGCGTACAAGTATCTCCCATTAACTAGCGTAAAGAAAACAAAACAAAACATAAAAAATCATATCATTCTAAAAGGTCGTCTCAGCGATAACCTTTAGTTTACAAAACATGTTCACATGTTTACTTACCATTATAGTGGCTGTTTGTGTACCATGCTCACCACCACCCCAACATTCGCCTATATTGGGACATCTAGCCTCCTCACAGACGGTGGCCAATTTCAACTCACGTAATTGTGTTTTAATTTTGGCATAATTCTTGCCCATAGGTATGGTGGTCTTAAGCCAAGGGGGCAATCTCAATCTTTCATTTTCTCCCTTTTCTCTACGCAATTTACCCTCAAATTCTTGCCATTCTTCTTTGGTATTTTCAGGATTTTGTACAAAATCTTGGAAACTAGGACCCTTAGCTAAACGTTCTCTTATTTCTTCGATTTTATTGGTAGAGGCGGCAGCAGGAGCAGCATTTGTGTTAGTATTACGTTTAGCTAAAGAGCAGGCTGAATGCTAGACATAATTACAAAGTTTTAATAATTTTGTTAAATTTTAAATTTGTTTTAAATACTTACCACTCTCACGGGAGATTTGGTTAGATGTCTCAACATTATTTTCTATTAATTTAAAATGAAATTTTTTTTATATTTTTTTCGTTTTGGCTGCAGTTATGAAATTGATAAGGAAGTGGTAGAGGAAAAAAGTAAAGAAAATCAGAAGAAAAACATTAAACAGCTGTTGGGGGGAACAAAAACAAATCAAAACAAACTAAACACAACAGGGTTGTATTTAGTAAAACACTTAGAGAAATTTTGGTATAAAAATATCAGAAAACTATTACAAAATGTAGCCGAAAATTTTAAAATTAACTCCAATACTATTCATTGTTACTTTTCTATGAAAATTGTCTTTTAGACAAGAATCTTTTCTATAGAAAACTGTCTTGTAGTCAAGAAACTTTTCTATAGAAAACTGTCTTGTAGACAAGAAATTTTTCTATAGAAAACTGTCTTGTAGACAAGAAACTTTTCTATAGAAAACTGTCTTGTAGACAAGAAACTTTTCTATAGAAAACTGTCTTCTAGACAAGAAACTTTTCTATAGAAAACTGTCTTCTAGACAAGAAACTTTTCTATAGAAAACTGTCTTGTAGACAAGAAACTTTTCTATAGAAAACTGTCTTGTAGACAAGAAACTTTTCTATAGAAAACTGTCTAGTAGACAAGAAACTTTTCTATAGAAAACTGTCTTGTAGACAAGAAACTTTTCTATAGAAAACTGTCTTGTAGACAAGAAACTTTTCTATAGAAAACTGTCTTGTAGACAAGAAATTTTTCTATAGAAAACTGTCTTGTAGACAAGAAACTTTTCTATAGAAAACTGTCTTGTAGACAAGAAACTTTTCTATAGAAAACTGTCTTGTAGACAAGAAACTTTTCTATAGAAAACTGTCTTTTAGACAAGAAACTTTTCTATAGAAAACTGTCTTGTAGACAAGAAACTTTTCTATAGAAAACTGTCTTGTAGACAAGAAACTTTTCTATAGAAAACTGTCTTGTAGACAAGAAACTTTTCTATAGAAAACTGTTAAGTTTTTTAAATATATTCCTTACACTTTTGTTACTCACTGTATTATTTTGTGCATTGTATTTCCGTTTTTTATAATACACTATACATTGAATAATTTGTGCAATTGTAATTGTTGTCATAACTTATGATAACATAACCTAGAATACCTTTCCCTTTTTTTAAAGACCCATTTACCTCTAACAATTTGTGCTTAGGATTCCTCCTTATCATCACTTTCATCATCCACTAATTCTTCTTCAACAATAGGTTGATTATCACTCTTTTACCGACCTTTAAAACGTTGAAATACTGTACGGCTTGTGGAGCCGCCAGCTCCTATAAGAAAATCAAAATCATCCCCGGAAACACCCCAGGGAGATCTTTCAGGTTCTACATTGGAGGACATTAACATGGAATAGGCTAAGCAGATGTATACCATAACCGAAATAGATTAACATGAACAGTGAGACCCTGAGAAAGAAACTCAACCAGGTACTTAAATGGACCATTAGAGCAATATTGCAGAATACACTAAAACTGTGCAGTAAGAGAACTAGGGGTACTTTGAAGTTGAGGCCACGGATATTTTGATAATGTACGGCACTTTCCGGTTCAAAAAGTACCAAAGAAAAATACTTTAACTTCATCTTAACATACAATAAAGAGAACAAAGAGAATTTCTATAAACCTTGAACTTCCCCCTAAAGTAGGCCTTGAAATCGGCTTATTAATAAACTAAATCATACACTGTAAAAGTAACAGGTGTCCAATAATATTTGTAAACATTTTATATACATAAAAATCCTTGTATAAACTTTTTAAATTATCTCATATTTAAAGAATTCTTAACACAAACCTTTTATTACTTCATTTTGCAAAAAAAAAAAAGAAACCATAAACTTTTTAAAATTAAAAATCAATAGAACATAAATAAAAATTCCTGCATAACTGAGTAAGTGTTCGGAGGACAAAGTAAAATTCACTTAAGATAATAAGTAATTACAAACATAAATAAGCAACAAGTGTAAGAGGGGGCAGGGGGGTGTGGTAGGCTAGTACTTCAAATACCGGTTAAGAGTTACCCAAACAAGGCACTCACTCACTTATTTAATGGACCTTAAACAATGCGCATGTTCTGGTATAATTGACATTGAAAGCAATACTAACTGACGTATGGTACAAACAGAACATTGTGGTGGGTGAACGTAAGCATACATAGAAGAGGAATTTAATAATAAAAAAAAGAAAGAAAAATTTGGAAAATTTATAAGAAATTAAAGAATTTCTAAAATTGTTAATAAATTTATAGAAATTTTTAAAATTTATTAAAATAACAGTTCATGAATGTGTTCTTTAAAATCGTGAGTTAATTTTGTTAAGCCTAAAGCTATGCAACACTTGTTAGCTACACACATATGTTAGCTAATCGCCAGCAGCTAAGAAAAGTTTACAAAAAATTTACGAAATTTTTAAGATTTTATTGTGTTTAAAAGTTTGAATTAAGTTTTAACAATATGCCGGGCACCAGACGCATTATATTGGGCCATGTGATGTCCGGTTTGTGCAGTAAAATGAATCGCACTAAACCTTTACCCACCGATGCCATGGAGACTCCTTTAAAACGCTGTTTAAATACTTTTGATATCACTTTATTGGGTAAGAAGGACCAAAACAATACAAACAAAAAGTTTATGTTGGAAAAATGACATAAGCTTTTTATATATTCCAAACGGGAGTATAGTGTTAAAGAGAAACTCCTTCTTTTTCTAGGTATTGGCCATATGGTGGGTGCTGGCATTTATGTTTTAACCGGCACAGTGGCTAAGGATATAGCCGGACCTGGTGTTATAGTATCTTTTATACTGGCTGGTGTTGTCTCCATGCTGGCGGCTATTTGTTATGCGGAATTTGGCACTCGAGTGCCCAAGGCGGGCTCGGCTTATGTTTACACTTATATCTCCATAGGCGAGTTTTGGGCTTTCATTATTGGCTGGAATATATTGCTGGAACATATGTTGGGAGCTGCCTCGGTGGCAAGGGCCTGGAGTGGTTATGTGGATTCTTTGCTGGGCGGTTGGATTGAGAACACCACCTTGTCGCTTATAGGAGAACTACAGGAGCCTCAACTGTTTGCTCGTTATCCAGATATTTTGGCTTTTTTGGTATGCGTACTTTATGCTTTGGCCTTGGCGGTGGGTGTTAAGGCCACTGCCTTAATTAATAGTCTTTTAACGGTTGTTAATATCGCTGTTATGGTGTTGGTTATATGTGTGGGTTTCTGGTATGCTGATGCCAAGAATTGGTCTCAATCGGAGGGTGGCTTTTTGCCCTATGGCTTTAGTGGTGTTATAGCGGGGGCAGCTACTTGTTTTTATGCTTTTGTGGGTTTTGATTCCATAGCTACTGCAGGGGAAGAGGCCAAAAATCCCTCAGCTTCTATACCTCTAGCTACTTTATTGTCTTTAAGTGCTGTGTCCGCCGGTTATATATTGGTAAGTGCTGCTCTTACTTTAATGATACCCACCAATGATATAAACCCGGCTGCTTCTTTACCCGAGGCTTTTGGTCAAATGGGTTTACCTTGGGCTAAATATATAATAACCATAGGGGCTTTGTGCGGCATGACCACTACCCTTTTAGGTTCTTTGTTTGCTTTACCACGCTGTATGTATGCCATGGCTTCTGATGGTTTACTTTTCAGCTGTTTTGGTAAAATTAACAGTGTTACCCAGGTTCCCGTATTAAATTTAGCCATTTCTGGTCTTTCCAGTGCTTTATTGGCTTTGGTTTTTGATTTAAGAAATCTAGTAGAATTCATGTCCATAGGCACCTTATTAGCCTACACCATAGTCTCGGCCAGTGTTATAATACTACGCTATCGTCCCTTACCTATTCTAGAAAACCCCATATACGCCCCTGATACTCCCGAGAATGATGAAGATGATGATAACGATACCACCTCTCAGTATAGCATTGATACCGCTTCCCCCACTAGTGATTTAATAGAAGGCATGTCCGCCGGTCGCCTTAAACCTAAATACAAATGGTTAGATGCCATTTTAGGACGTTTTGAACCGGGCAGTGCTGTTTCGGCGGGGGTTTTAGTATTCACCGTCTTAAGTTTTACTTTATGCTTCCAGTTGAAAACTTCCTGGGCCGATAGCAAGACCGTAACCTCCTGGTGGGCTTTATTAATGTATGGTTTTCTTTTATTTATTATTTTATCTTGTGTTTTTGTCATATCCGTACATCATCAAAATACCCGTGGCCTGAACTTCAAAGTACCTCTAGTTCCCCTACTACCCTGTTTTAGTATATTCTGCAATATTGCTTTAATGGTTCATTTAAGTTTCTTAACCTGGTTGCGTTTCTTTATCTGGGTCTCGTTTGGCATGTTAATCTATTTCGGTTATGGTATACATCACAGCAAGGAGGGTACTGTCTGCTCAGCCTATTCCATGTTAATGTCCTCCAATGCAGAACCTAAAAAATCTCCCTGGGGTGTTTCGGGGGATGATTTTGATTTTCTTATAGGAGCTGGTGGCTCCAGTAGCCGTACAGTATTTCAACGTTTTATAGGTCGTAAAAAGAGTGATAATCAACCTATTGTGGAAGAAGAATTAGTGGATGATGAAAGTGATGATAATGAGGAATCCTAAGCACAAATTGTTATAGGGGAATAGGGTCTTTAAAAAAGGGAAAGGTATTTTAGGTTATGTTATCATAAGTTATGGCAAAAATTATAATTGCGCAAATTATTCAATGTATAGTGTATTATAAAAAACGGAAATACAATGCACATAAGAAAACAGTGAGTAACAAAAGTGTAAGGAATATATTTATAAAACTTAACAGTTTATTAATTAATTTATAAAATCTTTCAATTCTTTTAAAATCTAAAGTTTCTTTTAAAAAGTTTCAAAGTTTTTAAAAGATTTTCAGTTTAATTTTAAAGTAAGGTTAAGTTTTGTTATAGAATTTCTTCTTAAATTTATTTAACAAGGATTTTAGTGTATTATTAAAGTGTTTGAGAGGAATTTTTTCTAATACTAAAACACTTTCCTAATATTCCAGCCCTCTTTAATCCTAAATTTTGGAAATTTTAAACTTTTTTTAAACAATTTATCTAAAAGGCCAAAGTTTTTTCTTTTGTCTAGAAGACTGTTTTCTATAGAAAAGCTTCTTGTCTAGCAGACAGTTTTCTATAGAAAAGTTTCTTGTGTAGAAAACAGTTTTCTATAGAAAAGTTTCTTGTGTAGAAGACAGTTTTCTATAGAAAAGTTTCCTGTCTAGAAGACAATTTTCTATAGAAAAGTTTCTTGTTTAGAAGTTAGTTTTCTATACAAAAGTTTCTTGTCTAGAAGTTAGATTTCTATAGAAAAGTTTCTTGCCAAGAAGATAGTTTTCTATAGAAAAGTTTCTTGTTTAGAAAACAGTATCCTATAGAAAAGTTTCTTGTTTAGAAGTTAGTTTTCTATAGAAAAGTTTATCTTGTCTAGAAGATAGTTTTCTATAGAAAAGTTTCTTGTCTAGAAAACAGTTTTCTATAGAAAAGTTTCTTGTTTAGAAAACAGTATCCTATAGAAAAGTTTCTTGTTTAGAAAACAGTATCCTATAGAAAAGTTTCTTGTCTAGAAGTTAGTTTTCTATATAAAAGTTTCACTTGTCTAGAAGTTAGTTTTCTATAGAAAAATGTATTGTCTAGCAGACAGTTTTCTATAGAAAAGTTTCTTGTTTAGAAGTTAGTTTTCTATAGAAAAGTTTCTTGTTTAGAATTTAGTTTTCTATAGAAAAGTTTCTCTTATCTAGAAGACAGTTTTATATAGAAAAGTTTCTTGTCTAGAAGACAATTTTCTATAGAAAAGTTTCTTGTTTAGAAGTTAGTTTTCTAAAGAAAAGTTTCTTGTGTAGAAGTTAGTTTTCTATAGAAAAGTTTTTTTGTCTAGAAGATATTTTTCTATAGAAAAGTTTCTTGCCAAGAAGATAGCTTTCTATAGAAAAGTTTCTTGTCTAGAAGTTTGTTTTTTATGAAAAAGTTTCTTGTCTAGAAGTTAGTTTTCTATAGAAAAGTTTCTTGTGTAGAAGACAGTGTCTAGAAGACAGTTTTCTCTAGAAAAGTTTCTTGTCTACAAGACAGTTTTCTATAGAAAAGTTTCTTGTCTAGAAAACAGTTTCCTATAGAAGTTTCTTGTTTAGAATACAGTTTTCTATAGAAAAATTTCTTGCCTAGAAGTTAGCTTTCTATAGAAACGTTTCTTGTCTAGAAGCTAGTTTTCTATAGAAAAGATTTTTAACTAGAAAACAGTTTTCTTTTGAGGATATTTTTCTATAGAATCGATTCTTTTTAAAGACAGTTTTTTAAATATCGAAAACTTCTTTGGCCTTTAATTTTAAAAAATCTTTTTAAAAACTTTTCTTAAAATTTCTTAAAACTCTCCTTTCACTTTCGTTCCTCACTGCTGTTAAAAAAGTTTAAAAAATTAATAATCAAAATTCAATTAAACTATAAATGTGTGTTTTTGTGTATATCTCTACAATAATTATAAAAAATAATAATAATAAATACAATATAAATGTACCTTCATATTTAATTATGATTATGTTAAAAAAACTATACTATTATAGAAGAAAATAATAATAAAAAATGTTATTAATTAAATAAAGAAAGTAAAACTATATAAAAACTAAAGGTAAATCAATGTATATAAACAACAACAGGCTAAAGGATAAAACATCCTGGCCCACAGAGACACTTCTACGAAAAGTCAACAGATGTTTTCTTTTGCTTCTAATACCATATCTACACTTGAGGTTGGCGGTAGTACTGAACAGCGACCAGACGTTTCTACAATTAGATTTCAATTTGATTTTCATTTAAAAGTTGTTGTACACAGATTCTTCAACAGCAACATCAACAACAGCACCTTGTTTCCTCTTTTTTTTCCGTCATTACAACATGTTTTTTTTTTTATCCATTTTACATCATTTCCATGCAGGATACAATTTTTATGGTGTCCTTTTGTTTTACGAAAAACACACCAGGCAACCTCAGCTCGGTGTAATGATTCAAGTAGAGAGCGAAAGACATGTTAGACAGACAAGTCATATAGTTAAACAAATGTTCTATTATGTTCATCAAACATACATACATATTCAATGAAAAGTCATGGCGAGACTACAAAGTGAGGAGGAAAGGACCGACAAAAGCGACAAGGTTAAACTAAAGACACAATTTAAAAGTAATAATAGAAAAACTGTTGGCAATTTAGTAATAATAAAATAAAATTATGACGTCTTATTTCTTAAGGGGTTTCATTCGCAAACACAAATAAATTAACAAGAAAAATCTGTAAAAGTAGACACTAGGAAAATAGGAGGGGAAACCCAGCAGAGGAGGACACTTTTCGCTAGATAACTGTTTAAAAATTAAATTTTAGAAGATACTTTTCTGGACAAGAAACTTTTCTAAAGAAAACTAACTTCTAGATAAAAAACTTTTCTATAGAACATTATCTTCTAGAGAAGAAACTTTTCTATAGAAAACTTACTTCTAGAGAAGAAACTTTTCTTAGTAAACTAAGTCCTAGACAAGAAACTTTTCTATGGAAAACTAACTTCTAAACAAGAAACTTTTCTTAGAAAACTAACTTCTAGACAAAAAACTATTCTATAGAACATTAACTTCTAGACAAGAAACTTTGCTATAGAAAACTAACTTCTAGACAAGAAACTTTTCTATAGAAAGTTAACTTCTAGACAAGAAACTTTTCAATAGAAAATTAACTTCTAAATAAGAAAGTTTTTTATAGAATACTAACTTCTAGACAAGACACTTTTCTATAGAAAACTACCTTCTAAACAAGAAGCTTTTCTATAGAAAACTAACTTCTAGACAAGAAACTTTTCTATAGAAAACTAACTGCTAAACAAGAAACTTTTCTCTAGAAAACTAACTTCCAGACAAGAAACTTTTCTATAGAAAACTAACTTCTAGACAAGAAACTTTTCTATAGAAAACTAAATTCTAGACAAGAAATTTTTCTATAGAAAACTAACTTCAAGACAGGAAACTTTTCTAAAGAAACTTTTCTATAGAAAACTAACTTCTAAATAAGAAACTTTTTTATAGAAAACTAACTTCTTGTCAAGCAACTTTTCTATAGAAAGCTAACTTCTAGACAAGAAACTTTTCTATATAAAACTATCTTCTAGACAAGAAACTTTTCTATAGAAAACTATCTTCTAGACAAGAAACTTTTCTATAGAAAACTAACTTCTAAACAAGAAACTTTTCTATTGAAAACTGTCTTCTAGATAAGAGACTTTTCTATAGAAAACTGTCTTCTAGACAAGAAACTTTTCTATAGAAAACTAACTTCTAGATAAACTATATTCTAGATAAACTAACTTCTAGATAAACTATATTCTATAGAATGCTGTCTCAACAAGAAACTTCTCAATAGAAAACTGTCTCAACAAGAAAATTTTCTATAGAAAACTGTCCCAACAACAAACTTTTCTATACAAAACTGAATCAACAACAAACTGTTCTATACAAAACTGTCTCAACAAGAAAGTTTTCTATAGAAAACTGTCTCAACAAGAAAGTTTTTTATAGAAAACTGTCTCAACAAGAAACTTTTCTATAGAAAACTGTCCCAACAACAAACTTTTCTATACAAAACTGAATCAACAACAAACTTTTCTATACAAAACTGTCTCAACAAGAATCTTTTCTATAGAAAACTGCCTAAACAAGAATCTTTTCTATAGAAAACTGTCTTTAGAACAAACTTTTCTATTAAAAACGGCCTTTAATAGAAGCATTTCTATAGAAAACTTTTCTTTAGTAAAAACTTCTCTATAGAAAACTGTCTTTAGAAAAAACATTTCTATATTGTGAAAACTGATCAAGTGATCACAGTTCTTAAACTATTTTTCTCGATTTTCATATTGAGGATCAGTTTTTCATAATGTAGATCAATGTTTGCTATAAAATCTAAACGATCAGCAATGATTTTTTGAATTTTTTTTAAATTGATCACAGATGTATTATTTAATCGAAAAATACTTTAAGATTTTTCATATTTTGTTTAAAAGTTGAAGTGATCTTTAATTGATCGTATACTGATCATTTCTTTATTTTTCTTATGAATATTAAAATCTTATAGATCTCATATGTTTTTCCTTAAATATTTATTTATATTTTATTTAAACAGTTTGTTTTTTATTTGAGGGCTCTTTTTTGACCCCATTTGAATGATCACTTTTAATATTTGTTTTAAGAGCGTGACCATCACTTCTCTATTTGCTATTTTTAAGAAAAAATGTGTTTTAACTATTTACTTTTTTTTTGGTCGGAAATCTTGAAATTTCCAATTGATTGATAGTTTTTGTCAAACATTTCTGCTGTGTGTCCCTTAGTATATATACAGTTGGACAAACATGTGTAAATCCCAGAACAAGTATTGTAACAGCTGTAACAATTTTGGGAAAAAAAGTAAATACAAGTAATTTTAAACAAGTAAATATTTAGTTGAGGACATTTGGTTTGTAAATTTGTTATTTACTTGCTACTATGTATGTAGGTTTTTTAAGGAAATTAAAGATTCTTAAAGGATATTTTAGGTTTTTTTTAAGGAACTAAAGTCATGTTGTTTTAAAGGGCTTAAGTGTTTAAATAGATTGGAAATAAAGTAAATAAATAGAAATTGTTTAAACTAGTCTCAAGGTGTCTCATTTACTTTTTAAACCAAGAAGTTGAAAACATTCTTCTTTAAAAAACTATCTTCAATATAAGAGATCACCGAAATTTTACGTAAAACGATCGATTTTCTACAAAGTTAGCTCATTCTCTAACAAATTGATCTTCATTATGAAAAATCTGTATTCTTAAGTAGAGAATATTATGTGATCTTTTAAATGCATTAAGGTGATCTTTATTATAAAGATCACTTAAAACAAGAGCTGTATTTTGCGATCGTATTTAGTTGCTTGGTGATCATGTCCCTAGAGTGAAAGCTAGCTTATACTCTAATAAATTGATCTTGATTGAGAATATAAACTTTTTTCACAAGATTTGATAAAATTCTTGCGATCGTATTTAGATGCTTAGTGATCGTATCTCTAGAGTAAAAGTTAGCTTATACTCCTACAAATTGATCTTCATTGTAAAAAATCTATA